ATGATCGCTCGCCAGTTTAGCGAGCTTAGTGTAGGCAGTTGTTGACCGGGGGGTTGATCATAAACATATATACATGGTTAGGAGGATGTTTGAGAGAAGTGGAGTGCTACATCTGTAGCATCTTAGCTAAGCAGTAACTGTAAGACGCTGCAGGTGTAAGAGACGCTGTGTGTTAAGGTGCATTAAAGTTGAAATGCACTGAGAAATCCTGTCCATACAAGTTATGAACAAAATCAGTGACAATGGGCAGCCCTGGCAAAGTCCATCTCCCACCCTGAAGGGGTTTGACTTACTACTGGCGATGTGAACCAAACTCTCACACCGCTTGTATAAAGACCGAGCAGCCCGTATCAATGGGCCCTCAATCCCATACGGCTGAGAAACCCCACGTGCCAGTTGGATTAAAAATGTTTGGGAACTATTCCTTTCACCTCCCAACAAAATCACTGGTTGAGGTCAACAGCACCCCACCTTCACTGAACACAGTGTTACTAAAGCACTGTTTGTTCCTTCTCAGCCATCTGATGGTTTGCCAGAATCTCCTTGGAGCCAACTGAGAGTCTCTATCCAAGGTCTCACCGAACTTCTCCCACATCCGAGCTTTTGCCTCAGCAACAGCAAAGGCTATGGACCGATTTGCCCTCCAGTACTCCTCAGCTGTCTCTGGAGTCCCACCAGTCAACAAAGCCCAATAGGACTCTTTCTTCAGCTTGGCAGCCTCCCTAGCCCAGTGTGTCCACCACAGAGTTCATGGATGGCCACCACAAAAAGTACCAACAACCTTGTGGCCACAGCTCAAGGCAGCCACTTCAACAATTCAAGCATGGACCATGGCCCACTCAGACTCAATGTTCCCCACCTCAGATGGGATGATGTTAAACCTCTCCCAGACTTGTGAGTTGAAGATCTTTCTGATGGGTTCTTCTGCCAGGCATTCCCAGCAAACCCTCACTACATGTTTGGGTCTACCAGTTCTGTCCAGTATCTTCCCCATCATTTGATCCAACTCACTACCAGATGGTGATCTGTTGACAGGTCAGCTCCTTTCTTCACCCGAGTGTCCAAAGCAAATGGCCGCAAATCAGATGACACAACTACAAAGTCAATCACTGATCTATGACCTAGGGTGTCCTGGTGTCAAGTTCACTTATGGACACCCTTATGTTAGAAAATTGTGTTTTTGATGGACAAACTATGACTTGCACAGAAGTCCAACAACAGAATACTGCTCAGATTCAAATCAGAGAGGTCATTCCTCCCAATCACACCCCTCCAGGTCACACTGTCATTATTCATGTTGACATTGAAGCTCGCCAAAAACTCATATTGACAGAAAACAGCAAGGAGCTCAGTGTCCATTGCCCGGAGGTGAGTTCCGGAGGTGAGTTATGGTGTCACCACCCTGGAGCCAGGCCTGGGGGAGAGGCTTGTCAGTGAGCACCTGGTGACCAGGTCTCTACCCATGGGGCCCGGTCGGGCTTAACTCTAACAAGCAAAAAGGGGTTTCCCTTTCTGTGGGTCCACCATCTGCAGGAGGGGCCATACAAGTAAATGGACGGTAAATGGACTGTACTTATATAGCATCTTTCTATCTTATCAGGATACTCAAAGTGTTTTACACTACAATTTTGCTCTCATTTACCCATTCATACAGCACTCTACTAGATCTCTACAAAGCTAATTGAACAAATCATTCTAAAGAGACCAATCAGAGCTTTATCACATTCATACACCAATGGGACACATATCAGAGGCAATGAGGGGTTCATTGTCTTGCCCAGGGACACGTCCGCATGTGACAGCTGGTGGAGTCGAACCCCCAACTTTTGCATTGGAAGACAACTGTTTTAACCACTCAGCCACAGCCGCCCACAAGTTAGGTGCATGATGCCATAGGCAATGGCCAAAGGCTGGCTTATGGCCAAATGGCTGACCCTGGCTTACCAAAGCGGGCAGCACGGTGGCGCAACTGGTAGAGCTGCTGCCTCTCAGCGAACAGGTCCCTGGTTCAAACCCCGGTCCAGGTGCCTTCTGGGTGGAGTTTGCATGTTCTCTCCGTGCATGCATGGGTTTTCTCCGGGTACTCCGGTTTCATCCCACAGACCAAAAACATGCATGTTAGGCTGATTGGTAACTCTAAATTGTCCCTAGGTGTGAGTGAGAGAGTGAATGGTTGTTTGTCTCGTTTGTCTCTATGTGGCCCTGTGATGGACTTGCGACCTGTCCAGGGTGTACCCCGCCCATCGCACAGTGATTGCTGGACATGGGCACCAGCGACCCCCGTGACCCAAAATGGAATAAACGGGTAAAGATAATGGATGGAATGGATGGGCTTACCAAAGCTGGCTCTTAGGACATGGAATGTGACCTCTCTGGTGGGGAAGGAGCCTTAGCTTGTGTGTGAGGTTGAGATGTACTGACTAGATATAGTTGGTCTCAACTTGACTCACAGCATGGGCTCTGGAACCAATCTCCTTGAGAGGGGCTGGACCTTACTGCTAGCTACCTTGACAGGCAAAACATTATGGTTCACAATTATGAGCAATGTGTAATTCAGCAGAAAAACCATCCATCCATCCATTTTCTTTACCTGCTTATTCCATTTTGGGTCACGGGGGTCGCTGGTGCCCATGTCCAGCAATCACTGTGCGAGGGGCGGTGTACACCCTGGACGGGTCGCAAGTCCATCACAGGGCCACATAGAGACAAACGAGACAAACAACCATTCTCTCTCTCATTCACACCTAGGGACAATTTAGAGTTACCAATCAGCCCAACATGCATGTTTTTGGTCAGAGGGAGGAAACCGGAGTACCCAGAGAAAACCCACGCATGCACGGAGAGAACATGCAAACTCCACCCAGAAAGGCCCTGGACCGGGGTTTGAACCAAGGACATACTCACTGAGAGGCAGCAGCTCTACCAGTTGCGCCACCGTGCTGCCAGCAGAAAAACCGTTTTGTCTAAAACAGGTTATCTTAAAGGAACACCATCCTGCATGTTTTAGTTGTTTAACTGCTCCAACACACCTGATTCAGTGATTTAATTACTTCAAGTTCTGTCGAAGCCTGTTAATCATCCAGTCATTTAAACCAGGCTTGTCAAAGCAGGGAAACAACTAAAACATGCAGTATGGTGGTCCTCAAGGACCAGAGTTGAGAACCACTGCTCAAAAACACAAATAGATGTCGCTGAACAGGAGCTCTGACATCCATCCATCCATTATCTTTATCCGTTTATTCCATTTTGGGTCACGGGGGTCGCTGGTGCCCATGTCCAGCAATCACTGTGCGAGGGGCGGGGGTACACCCTGGATGGGTCGCAAGTCCATCACAGGGCCACATAGAGACAAACGAGACAAACAAACATTCACTCTCTCACTCACATAGGGACAATTTAGAGTTACCAATCAGCCTAACATGCTTGTTTTTGGTCTGTGGGAGGAAACCGGAGTACCCGGAGAAAACCCACGCATGCACGGAGAGAACATGCAAACTCCACCCAGAAGGCCCCTGGACCTGGGTTTGAACCAGGGACCTGTTTGCTGAGAGGCAGCAGCTCTACCAGTTGTGCCACCGTGTTGCCCGGAGCTCTGACAGACATTGCCAATTACAGAGAAGTAAAAAAATTAATAAATCATAGAATCACAAATTGACAAAGTTTGTATTTTTTCCCCACATCACACTTTCACTTCACTTTTCACACTTTAATAGATACATGTTCTTTAAATGAAACAGGGTGCCTACTCACGACTGATCATCATCCAATTCATTCAACCTTTATTTATACAGATTAGCTCCATTGCGCCTTGGGGACTCATTTACAAGAGAGACCTGAAGGGAGACCTGAAGAGAGACCTGAAGAGACACCTGAAGAGAGACCTGAAGAGAGACCTGAAGGGAGAGCTGAAGAGAGACCCATTGATTGAAAACAACTGACTCTAATTTCACCTTCAAACTCACTAATCCTGGAGGTTCACATACTTATGTTACTCACAAATATGTAATATTGGATAATTTTCCTCAAAAAATAAAGACTAAGTATGAAGTTTTTGTCTCGTTTGTTTAACTGGGTTCTCTTCATCTACTTTTAGGACTTGTGTGAAAATCTGATGATGTTTTAGGTCATATTTATGCAGAAATATAGAAAATTCTAAAGGATTCACAAACTTTCAAGCACCACTGTATATCTGGACAATGATTTAGTTTCCCTACACATAAAGTAATATTACTTCCCTTCCAGGATCTGCAGCTCAGTAAAATATCACCCCAACAGCCAAACCCATCTGTTCTCTGATTGGATTGTTAAATTTGTTATTGACATGACATTGACCAATCAGCTGAGAGGAAGAACATCCGGTCATAATTCATACTTACAATATGAAAAACATGCAGAGTTTTACACGTTGTTCTTGTTTATTTGTATCTGTACACACATCTTGAAAAAATAGTAACTTTAATTATTTTTTATAAACGCAAATTTTTCTGACACACATGCACACATGCATTTCTATCTACACAAGGATTCCTTAGATAAAAAAAACTTTACTAATTGGCTTTTATGTATGTGAATGTTCCTGTAAAGTGCCCTGAGACAACTTTGTTGTGATTTGGCGCTATATAAATAAACTGAATTGAATTTAATTGAATTGAACAAGCACAAAGCAGAAATGCTCAGCTATTTTATTTAACAAGGTTACAAAAGTTACAAAACTTCATTCACAAGCTCGCAGTGATTTACAAACACAAAATAGTTTGTATAGGAAGACTTTAAAGTGATGGAGGTGCAATAACAATATGTTCTGTGACGTCAGGAGCATTTATTTAAAGCTTCACAATTATTAATAAAATGAACGCTTTAGGTGAAAACATTAAAAAATGTTTGACATGCTGTCATAACTGTCCATGCCTGTCTTCTACCCCCCCCCCCCCACACACACACACACACACACACAAGAACACACACAAGAACACACACCCACATGCACACACAGCTCTTACCTATGCAGAGCTGCAGAACAAACGCATAGTAGGACCAGGCCACTATGAGGACGATGAACAGGACTGGGATCCAGTACAGGACTCTCTGGCAGCCCCTCCTGATGCTCCTCGGCCGACACGGTGCCATGGTGGTCTACAGGAAGCGGCTCATCCCTCTGTCCGTGCGTGTCAAGGTTTGTGTTGTAGTGAACTGTCAGTGCATGTTAAATGTGGGTCTAATGGGTCGGAACATCCTCCCTGCAGCTCGGCTCTCCACAGCGCCGCCTCTCTGCTGCGTCCCGACGCGTTGCCATGACGTCCGCGGGACGCAGCAGACCTGGCACATTTCTCTGCGCGCGCACAAGGGGGTTCATTAGGTTCAAACTCAGCGGCGCCGAGAACGCGCGCGCGCACACACGTGTGCGGGAATACCTTCTCCGGATGCAGTGCAGATTAATACCAAACACAAAATGCGCCTTGACCAAGACATTTCATGGATCCTGCTCAGAGCAAGGAGAGAAATCATTTTGTCCATGTAGCACACAGATTATTATTATTATTAATATTATCATTACTATTACACAATTATGATATTGTTTTCATAGCTGTGTATGTACGTTATATTTGTATAGTACATGTAGCCAATGTTATGTGGATTATGTTACCCCCACACAGAATATTTTTATTAATATTTCATTTACACAATTATGCTGCTGAGCTTGAACAGACTGACGCGGAATTCTGCAGAAATGCAGACTATTTGACCTTAGTTACACAAAAAAGATCATCACCACAGAGAGGGACACAGGATTAAATAGACTGAACTGACATGGTCATACTCCAGGACCTCCCACCAAAATCAGGAAGGTTGGCCGGTATGAGTATGAATATAAGTATGGAATATGAATATAAGTATAGAGTATGAATATAAGTATAGAGTTTGAATATAAGTATAGAGTATGAATATAAGTATAGAGTATGAATATAAGTATAGAGTATGAATATAAGTATAGAGTTTGAATATAAGTATGAGCAGGGCCAGAGTGGGACTCATTTTCAGCCCTGGAGTTTCATGCCTCAGACTGGTTCACTTTAGGTCACGGCCTATTATTAAAATCATGTTGTTATAACCTTACATAAGGGGCAATTGTAGAATATACCCTTTAGGGGTGTTTAGCCCCCATTGCTTGAATATGACATCAGTCAAAAGCATTTGTAATGTGTTGGGGGGGGGGGGGGGGTTCTGGGACTCTCCCATAAAATTTTTTAACGAAGTAGATGCCATTTCCTGCATTTTGGTATAGTTTAACGGTTGTTTAACATCCATCCATTATCTTTACCCATTAATTCCATTTTGGGTCACGGGGGTCGCTGGTGCCCATGTTCAGCAATCACTGTGCGAGGGGCGGGGTACACCCTGGACAGGTCGCAAGTCCATCACAGGGTCACATAGAGACAAATGACACAACCATTCACTCTCGCACTCACACCTAGGGACAATTTAGAGTTACCAATCAGACTAACATGCATGTTTTTGGTCTGTGGGAGGAAACTGGAGCACCCGGAGAAAACCCATGCATGTACGGAGAGAACATGCAAACTCCACCCAGAAAGGCCCCTGGACCGGGGTTTGAACCAGTTGTAGGGCCAAGAGACAAACATGTAGCATTAACAGTACGAACAACATTCACAAATTGTTTCTATAAGAACATTATCAAATATTTTACTTGAACGGTATCACTCCACCCACGAGCAAATGTAACCCAGGTTGAGCTCAGACAAACAAACACGATAGCTGTAATGATGGATGTAGTGAAGCTCACTGCATTACCTGAGACATTTAGTGAGGCATATCTGCCTTATCAGCCAACACCAAGTCAAAGAAGACTAGCAAAAATAATAACAATAATAAATATAAAAATAGCTGTAATAAATTCTAACCTACTCATAACGGGATGTTTTCATGCCACAGAGCGACACAGTGTGTGTGTGTGGGGGGGGGGGGGTGTCCTCCCTCAGAATTTTGAATGAGGTAGATGCCATTTCCTGCATTCTGGTGTGTTTTACAAATGTTTAGTAGATTAGCATGAAACAAAAGATGTAAACTCAACTGAAATCTCTGACTGCAAAGTGTTTGTAATGAAAAACCGCTGCAGCTCTGCAGGTAAGGGACGTTCACTACAGGACAAACTGAGGTATCTGGTCAGTTGCTGACATGCCTACTGGATTGATTGACAGGTGGGTCAAAGATTCAGCTACAGAAAAAAAAAAGATCCGTTTTACTTGCCTGTTTAGGACTGTCATCATTTATTCCATATTTAGTCAAGTCAGATTAATTTATAGAGCACATTGAAAACAGAAGCTGCTACCAAAGTGCTTAACAAAAAGATCACAGCATCAAATAAGATATTACAGCATATAGAAAACATAAAAATACAAATTCCTAAGAATGGTTTCATTTTTCAGGGATGCTGAGTAGAGCTGTCATTTTTATCCCAAACCCGGAGCCCGGCCCAACCCAGATTAGGGCCAGTCCATAATAATGTGCTTAATGTGCTGGCTGGGCCAGTGTCAGGATTTTGATTGCATCAGCAGAGGTGTGCGGCTGATGATCCAATTATATGGCAACATGGCTTGCCATACTTTCACCAGCTGCACGCAGCCATTTGACCACATGCTGATCGGCCTTGAAAGAGGTAAAAAGTTCATTTAAGCTTCAAATGGACTACTGCCAGGCAGCAATCCATCCAAAGCCCAAATGGACATTCATTCAGCTGCTGCACTCAGCGAACGCGTGTGGCTGACGACCCAAACAGGTGAGATCACAAAATATCCGACATGTCAGAGCATGGTCCATGTCTGAATAATGCAGCAGAAGCAGGGATTTAATGTGCTTTGACGGCCATGAAAGGACAAATAACCCCTCAGCTCCGATCTTCTGTCCCCTCATTAATAACTATAAGCAGTCAAAGCTTAACTAAAAATGTTGGTGGGGGGGTTTGTTAGGTTCGGACCTGTAATTACTGTCAATTCCATCAGGTCGGATGGGGTTCAGAAACAATGGCTACGGGCTGGGGCTATCAGGTTTTATCAATGTCGACCCCCACGTGAGCAGACCGATTCAATAAAGACAGTCAGGACTAGAAAAGGTAAGTGAACTTTATTTACAGGTGAATCTTGTCGTCGCAGCTGTAAGGGAGAAGAGGAATAGGTGAGTATGGGTTCTGGTTGTCTCTTTGAATGTTTTAATTCTTGAAGATAGATAATTGACTCCTTACTGTTTGTGTTGTAGGTGGAGGCCGAGAAGGAGAGGAGAGGTCCTGGGCTTTTGTAGGAGATCCAGTCCTGAGGTATTTGGAGGTGGAGAGAGGAGCAGGTTGACCCAGTTGAGAATGCTTTAATGGTGGTTGTTGAAGGGACACCGTTGATCCACAGGTGGAGTCCAGTGGAGCGATGAGATCCTAGGGAGGATCTGAAGAGGCAGGCCGTGGAAGGTCCTGGAGGAGTCACAGTTGGTGAGAACCAGCTGTAACAAAGGTTAGTCGGCTGTACATGAATTACCATTTGGTAGATGATGTCCCAGCACTGAAGAGGTGTCTGGCAGGTGCTTAAATACCCATCAGGCAGTCCTCCTCAGAGCAGCAGCAGGTGGAGTGAGTTGAGGTTAACTGGCTGTGGAAGGAAGAGTGAGCGACAGGCAAAAAACCCAGGAATCCCACAGGGGCCAGGTCGGGTTGGATCTTTATGGCCCAAATGCAACTCTAGTGCTGAGTTAAAATTTAGGGGTGCTTGAACACCCCATAAAGAGGCTAAAACTGAAGCTAGTTCATATTTATAAATGCTTTTAAACACTTTATGTGTGAATTATAAGTGTATTAGGTGCAGGATCATTTCTCATCTACTAGTTGTTTAGTATATCCCACACCGCGGTCAGGTGCACCTCCTCATCCTCCTCCCTGCTCTGCACCGTGGGACATCAAGCGCTTCTCTAAGTTTTTGGCCACGCTTAGAAAAAAACTGCCTAATATTTAACATTTTGTCACTGGTTTAGAGAGTTGCTCTCAATCTTCCTGCTCAGTTCAGAAATGCGTCCTGGTCTCTCCGACATCGTTTCAAAAACTCACTGCACGACAAATATCTTCATAAGCCAAGATCGTTGTATTCATTGCAGTTCAAGTGAAAGTTCAGATAACTCCTGCAGTGATTCACACATCAGATTATTCACAAAAGCGCAGGAAATTATGCGCAGTGCTAAACCTTTAATTATATTTTTGTGTTTTTTAATAAAATCACCCATGAATTTGAACTTTTAGGGGTGGAGTATTTTTTATGAGTGGAAGCAAAAATGCAAAGTGACAGCTCTGATGTGACATTACAAACTCATTATGTTTAAAACTAGTATTTATGTAATTATTTTCAGAATATATATATCCCAATAAAGGCTGTATTCGTTCAAGGCAGGCAAATTTGTTAATAACTTTATTATTATTAGGCATGAGGGTTACCAGATCCAAGCAATAGGTATACAAGTATGGAGTATGACTATAAGTATGGATTATGAATATAAGTATGTTTATGAATATAAGTATGGAGTATGAATATAAGTATGGAGTATGAACATAAATATGGATTATGAATATAAGTATGGAGTATGAATATAAATATGGATTATGAATATAAGTGTGGAGTATGACTATAAGTATGGCTTATGAATATAAGTATGTTTATGAATATAAGTATAGAGTATGAATATAAGTATGGAGTATGAATATAAATATGGATTATGAATATAAGTATGGAGTATGAATATAAATATGGATTATGAACATAAGTATGGAGTACGAATATAAATATGGAGTTGAATATAAGTATGGAGTATGAATATAAGTATGGAGTATGAATATAAATATGGAGTATGAATATAAATATGGAGTATGAATATAAATATGGGGTATGAATATAAATATGGAGTTGAATATAAGTATGGAGTATGAATATAAATATGGATTATGAATATAAGTATGGAGTATGAATATAAATATGGA